AAAAAAAACAATGAGAAATACAAAACAAGAGATGCTAACTTTACTTTGCATGTACAAAAATGAATAATTCTAAATTCGTAAATATTATAAAGTTTATAAGTTTAATAAAAATATTTGATTACATTTTGAATTAGGTCATATGCTGCAATAACAAAGCACGTTTTTGTTCCGTTTTATGTAAAATGAAGTCAAAAAAAATTCTTCTGTACACTTTAAGACATTAATAAAAATGTAGCTAAACTTCAAAATAATCGCATTTTATTTTCGTGTATACAAAATTCATGAACAAACGTCAAATTTTGGGTGTTAACACCGGACGACTTATATTGAAGTTGAGTGTTCAATTTCTTTATTGTATTTTTTTCTCATGGATTTTTCTTAGAATTATTTATCCATTTTACTTATTAAAGGTTGTTTTACTAGTACTAGTTTCTTGTTAATTATTTTGTTTCATTTAAATTGGGTGAGCTGAATTCGGTAATACTGCAAGACCGAATCAACCCGCGGCAGATGCGAAGCAAGCCTCGCAATTCCGCCATTTTGCAAAAATCTAGCTAATATTCTGGCATTTCTATGAAATGCGTATCAGATATTAAGCTGATAAGAACAGATACTACACATTTGATCTTAGCTCATTGAGCCGAGAAGCGATATCGAACTAGGTAAAGTTCGCTTATTTAAACTATTTCGTGTAAGGAAACGATTGCGAGAAAAATGCGACATGCTGCGGTCGTTAGGAGAACTACTGTTGTAACGGAGGTACGGGATACTACCATCCTATGATACATAGGGTGTTCAAACAGGTTCGGATCAARCTAAAATGAATTCATATAAAATRATGTTAAAAGATGCTTTATGGAAAATATAATATCATAAATTATAACTTTTAATTGTCATAATAACGTGCAGGATAATTGTTTAAAAATAAAATGCCATTTTATCGTAGATTTATTTTTATTATAAGTATTAATTTAGTCAATCTATTTAAACGGAGTCAACGTGTTTTGTTGTAACATATGCCATAATTCATACTACACTTAGATATTTTTGTATTTGTCGAATATTATTTTGTAATTATGTTACATTCTTCAATAAACTGTATAATATTAACGAATTAAAAATTACTCAGTTTTGAACAGCTAAAGTCAAATAAGCTTCTTTGTCTTTTATCCCTTTATGTTTTTAGGTAAATTTTTATTATTCTATAATTCTATACTTTATTTTATTATTTACGTATTTCTATTTGAATACATAGCCTAAATACTCGTACTCCTTCATCTCTTCTATCCTCTTCCCTTTCCAATTTCATTCTATTTCTCTATTTCTTCCCCCTCCTCTCCTAAATCTTTAGATATTTCTATTTCCTTTTTTAATTCTATTTGTCTTGCGATAGCTATAGCATTAGCAAATGTTATATTTGTACACTTTTTTAATATTGCTTTAGTTTCCATGTCTCTTAATCCTTCTATGAAAATAATCCTTAAAGTAATTCTAGATCTAAGGACACGAGAGCATTTACTTGATAATTTTCTTAATGATAGGACATATTGTTCAATGGATTCATGCGGAAATTGGTGACGTTTTATCAAACGAGTGTTATGTGGATTTGTTTCTTTAACATTTGTAAACATTCCTGTTAACACGTTTAGAAGCTCATTGTATGGAAGTTCATATGGGTTTGTAGGAGATAAATTTTCCTTAATTTTCGTAACTGTTGGTGGATCTATACAATCAAATAAAAATGCAACCCTGTCATCATCTCTTATTGACAATTGGTTGACAAAACACTCAAAAGAATTTATCCATTCTAAAAAACGCATGCAACGGTAATTAAAACTATCAATCATACCGATTTGATATATACCATCGTCTCGTGTAGCCATTATAAACAATATTTAATGAACAATTATCTTCTTTCGATCGGAAACTATTTTTTTTCTTTTCTTTTGTTTAACTTTCACTAAATTAAACACTTTATATTATATTTTTTGTTGTGAATTTAGAAATTTATTTCGTTTTTTATTGATTCGATGCATTAACCTTAAAATATTTTATTTAATTTATATAAAGAGTTTTTGCTGCAATTTTATGATGTCAGGAGAATAAAAATATACAAGTTTTTGAATATATCCCGACCGTTTGATAGACAATGATCGATATTCTGTGTTTAAAGATAATTGTTGAATGATAGAATAGGAATGGAAAAGATATTTTGAACCTACAATTTGTCCTTGATGATATTATTAACAATTTGATTTAACAATTAGGAAAATGTTCATAGAAAATAAAACTGACAATTTAGTATTGATGTTTTCATTTTTTTTTTTTTTTGAGTATCATGGATAATACAACATTCGTATGAAAAAAAAAAAAAAATTAAAAATTTAAATAATACATCTATCGTATTAATCTTCAAATAAATATTTTAACTAGAACATTTTTTTTTTTTTGAAGCTGTTATAAATAATAATAATAATAATATCGTTTTAGGGAACAGCAATCAACAATATTCGTTTCTTGTCTAGAAATTATTTATAAAAAAAAAAAATTGTAAATAAATATAAATATAATTATTTATATATATAATATATATGTATATGTATATGTATATATTTATTTGTATATAAATATATAGATATATTTATATATGTGTATATATATGTATATATTTATATTCATAAAAGATATTTATAAAAAATAATAATTATTATTTTTTTGTTGTTGATACTAATTGAAATATTTGTTTTGTAGAAATAAGATCGAATATTATAATTTTCTGAACGATTACAATAAAGTATTAGATTTTTGTTCGCAAACAAAAAATTTTTCTTTATTGCTAATTTCTTCTTGTGTTATCTTAATAAATATATCATTATGAACACAGCTAACGTACATTGTTTAAAAAATATGTTACAATTCACACTAAACAAAAAAAAATAATTGTTTGTTTATCGTTGATTTAAAATTTAAAATTGTCGATTGTTAAACAGCCAAAGACAATAGAACTTCTTTGTTAATATATTTCCATATATTTGAATGAAACATACTTGTACTCATTTTCTTGCTTAATTAAAATTATTTTTTCCTTTAGCCTTGCAATTCTTATTGCCATACTAAATGACATGTTTTGTTTATCTTTCAATAAATTTCGAACTTGTTCGTCTCGTAATCCTTCTATGAATCGTTTGTGTAGACTATGTGTTTTCTTAATGTATGGTGAACATTTATGAAATAATTTTGTCAAAACATTGACGTAATTATTTACAGACTCATATGGTAATTGATGACGATATAAAAAACGAAAATTTATTGCATCTTCTCCTTTGTAATATGAGAAAATTTCTACTGCCATATTAACAAGTTGTTCGTATGAAATGTCATTAGCATTTAAGGGATATAATTTTTCCTTAATTTTCATATATGCAGGAGTTTCCAACATATGTAATAAAAATATAAATGTTGTAGCATATTATCTTAACAGTCTGATAAAAACTGATCGATTTTATATTTAAACTTAAATGAAAGGAAAGACAAAGGACGATGATATTTAACACCAACAAAAATGTATCCATGTGATTATTAAAGTATCAATTTTATTTCAGAATTAAAAAACAGTTTACAATGCATCGTTGATTTAAACATCGACATATGCCAACAATTATCGATGTTGGCATTATTACGATCTATAGTCCCTTTTGAAGATTCTATAATTTTTTGTAAACTTATTATTAATATTTTGAATATTATAAAATTGTAAATACAATTTTTTTGTTGCAATTTGAACCTTTTTTATATTTTGATATTTATCATTGTTTTAATAATTGGTTCGAAATTATTAATATATAAATATAATTTTCTAAAAGCAGTGTCGTCGTTTACTGTTATTATTTTTACATAAAATTTATTAATTAGATCGGTAATTTTTTTCTAAAGAATTATTATTTATATTATAATAAATAATTACTAATTAATAAGAAAAAATTACTATTTTTTCTTAATTGCTTACCGAAGTTTTATTACAAATGGTGAAAAAATATTCGCGACTGCCAGGATTCGATCCCACGATACCGCGGATACGAATCGTTTACTTTAGCATCGAGCCACGAAACCGTTCTTTACTAATTAATATTACATCTTCAATATAAGTCGAAAGTATTAATAAATACAGAATATAAGTATAAGTATAAATGTAAATGTATAAAAATATGATATATCAAGAATTAAAATTTTATACCATTACAAAAATAAATAGGATTATTATTTTATAGACGAAAACACAGTTTCATTGCTTGCTCTCTTTTGTCCTTTTTACCTTAAATTAGGTAAATAATATAAATAAAGTCAATATGTTTAATTATATTCTTATCAACAATTAATATTTTAAATAAATACTTTTCCGTATATACTCGTAAATAATTTTATAATGTTTTGACATGTCAATCGATTAAAAAAAGAGACAAACTTCTTAAAATCGATTAGGCTTAAAATTATCGATAATTATACAATTGTAGCGGATAATAATTCCTTTGTCTTGTATTTAGTTCATCATTTCAATCCAAATTTTATGATTTTCAGCTTGTCGAGCTATAGCAACTGCTTCGGCAAGTGTTAAATCTGTTTTACCTTTCAAGTATTTTTTTACGTTTTCGTCTTGTAATCCATTTATGAATCTCCTCGTTAAATATTCATTTTTTCGAAGATAAGAACTTCCTTTACTAGCTATTTTTCTTAAAGACAGTACATACTGTGGTACACTTTCACCGACAAATTGATTTCGAATAGAAAAACGATAGTTGGCTGCATACTCTCCTACCCAAAATGCGAACAGAATCTCCAATATTAATATAAGCTCATCATATGAAAGATTACGCGGATTTTCTTGAAGTACTTCAGATTCGATATATTGAACAACAAAAGGTTCCATATTTTTTAATAAAAATTCAACCTTTTCGTCAGTTTTTATTTTCGTAAGATCCACGATATACTCGAAAGAATTAAGCCATTTAAGAATTTCCATAGTTTGAGGGTTGAAACTTTTGAGTAAACAGATTCCTAGACCTGTTAATTCAGTATATGTACTCATTTCACTTATTTATTTTATTGACAAATAAAACTTTAAAAATTTTTTTGTTATAACACGTAATTTATAATAACTTGTTAAACAATTGTTCTTTCTTGTTTCTTTTGTTTCACCTTTACTTATAAATTTAATCACCTTAACTCTTATTGATTGTTTTTTTTTTTTTTAATTTAAAACTTTGCACTTGGAATAATTTTCTTAAATGCATAAAGAATAAAATCGTTGTTTCGAGTTTTGTTTAACAGTGCACAATGTTAACAATTAATAAATTAAATACGTTAATAAAAGTATGATTGTTCTAGCTTATACGGTGACTGTCTGAATAGGTAGTATTCGATTCTGTATTTAAATTGAACTGTTAAATGAAAGGAAAGTTATATTAGAATAATATTTGGTATATGAAATTTGTCCTTAATTAAAGTATCAATTTTATTTCAACATTATAAATAGTTTACAGTGTACTACAGATTTAAACATTGACATATGGCATCTGTTATTCATGTATTTATGTTTATTGTTTTCTATAGATGTTATGTTATTGTAAATTTAATAATATTTGAAAAATAGTAATCGCGCGTACACATTTGTTTAAATAATAGAGTTGTATTAACTATCCATCCTAATATTACAAATAATTTAGACAGTTTCGTTAATTGTTAATATCATTATATAAATATTTTACTTAAATTCGATATATTTTGTTTATAAAATTATTCTAAAAAATTATATTTATCATTTTATAGAAAATTATTATCAATTTTTCTTCTTTTACAAATGATAAATAATATTACATCTTTCGTATTAAATTAACACATTCGTGGCCGACATATTTTGTTAATACTGAGTACCTAACAAAAATAATGAATTATTTAAATTTACATTTAAATAATAAAAAAATATATAATAGTACAAAAATATAAAATACAATTATTTAAATATTATATTGAAATAATTAAATATATACCTACTTAAATATATACCTACTATATATATAAATATAAATTTTATATAGTAGGTTTATATACAAATTTATTTTTATAAAATTTCAAATTATTTTATAAAATTTCAAATGACGTAAATTCACGTCAGCAGCAACTAGGAATAGAACTTGAAAAGACGGGAATTCAAGTAAGTGGTCGTGAATGTGTTAAATAGAATAAAAGTATAAATATAATATAGAAATGAGATCAATAATTAAATACACTTAAATTTTGATCAGAAACATTTAACATTTTTACGATTATTGTTATATAGATAAAAAACACAGTTTAGTTACATGCTTTGTACTTGTTTCCCTTAAATTTAGGTACCAATATAAATAAAGGCAACGTACTTAATCACATACTATGAAACGATTCACCTAATAATAAATAAAAACCTTTCGTAATCATAAAAAATGTTTGTAATGTTATGAAGTTAGTTTTAATTTAAAAAGAAAATGATTCGAAATACAAGTTATTTTGTATTTGTTGTTGTAAGGATTCAGTACTGATTTTTTTCTAATTATACTGGAGGAGTTTTAGTCGAAATATTATAAAGTTCCAGATTATTGGCTATAGCAACTGCTCTGGATAATGTTAAATTTGAACAACTTCTCAATATCGCTTGTATATTTTTATTTGCTAATCCATCTATGAATCGTTCCTTCAAAGCATTATTACTTCTAAGCTCGGGATTGGCTTTACTACAAAGTTTTCTTAAAGCAAGCATGAAGTCTGGTATTCTTTCCATACTAAATTGATTTCGATAAATAAAACGATAGTTTGCTGCCCATGTTCCCTGATAACTTGAGAACAATTCCTCGCAGTAGGATATAATCTCATCGTATGAAAAATCACTTGGATTAGCTGGAAGTACTTTTATTTGAATACACATAAGTGCATCAGGTACTAATAAATTTAATAAAAATTTAACCTTTTGATCATCTGATAGATGCACAATATTCAGCATAAATTCAAAATTATTTAACCATTTTAGAAAGTCCATAAATTGCGGATTAAATTTTTCGAATAAATAGTTTCCAATAAGTACTATATCCGTCGGTTCACTCAGTATAATTATTTTATGCATTTTTATAGAATGTAATTTAATCAATTTGGGAAACTTCTTCCTTTTTTTTCTTCTTTTTCTTTCCTTCTTTCTTACACTTTTATTGATAATCACTCTCAATACACTTAATAATGAATGTAAACAATTTTTATTTTATTTTTTTTTATTTTTAAAATATTCTACGATTTATGATTAGGAATTATTAGTTAAATAAGTGAGTAAAGAATTACAGTGTTTTTATTAAAGATGTAGAAAGTTTTATCAATAAATTATTAAAATCACACACACACACATAGAAAAATACGAAAGTTCTAGCTTATGTCCCAATCGTGTGATACACAGTGATGTATTCTGTATTTATATTTAACTGTTAAATAGAAGGAGAAGAAGATTAACGATATGTATTATTTAAAATGTGTCCTTGATTAACGTATCAATTTATTTCACCATTATAAACAGTTTACAGCGTATTATAGATTTAAACATCGAGAAATAGCAACGAATTTTCATTTACTATTCTTTATTATCCTTTTAATGATGCCATGTTATTGTAAATTTAATAATATTTAAAATTTATTATATTTTCTTTTTCATTTGGTTTTGTTTTTACAATAACGCATAAACTATATCGTTGTATAAATGATGTAAGTCTCGTTTACAGCAACTATTATTACATAAATATTTGAACTATATTTAAATTATGGCAATTATGGGAAAATTGAACTAGTTTTCTTCTTATCTACCGTACATTTAATTTTTTATAAATAGTATTACATCTTTTTATATATACAGTATAATCTCACTAATCTGGCACTTCAATAGACCGATACGTCCAATAATCCGGCACCTTCGCTAGCGCCACCTTCGCCTCTCTACGCCTATGCGCTTCGTCGTCGCGTCGTCGTCTAGCAGTCTAACCTCAAAACTTATCACGTGCACGAGAGTACGTATTTACTTGATTTTTTACAAGAACACAAATATATACATACATRCATACATTATATTCTCTTGATGAAATGCTTTATTTTATTTATTATGATTTTTTTTTCTCTATAATCCAATAATCCGGAACCCTCTGGTTTTTAATAGTGCCGGATTAGTGAGATTGTACTGTATTTATATAAAAATTAACATCGTTATGAGATATAAGTAAGAGTAAATATACAAGTATGAATATATTAGGTGGTTTGGAAAGTCGTTTCCTTTTTCTTTTGTAAAAATGGAGACTATTTTTGCTTCGAGGTTAAACCTTAACCTTTCAAGTGGTCATAAATAGTTGAATTTGATAAATTTAATCTCTCGATCGATCTCATGTGTTACTATTTGTCGATTTGCATCAACTAATGCCATTATTGCGTCAGCAAAAAATGAAACGACTTTCGGAACCACCTAATAATATAGAAATGAGATCAAAAATAATATTAATTAAAATTTTTTTAAATATAAATTTAACGATTAGGATTATTGTTTTACAGACAAAAGAAAGTTATATTGAATGCTTTTCTTTTTTTTTTTTTTACCTTAAACAAGGTAACAATGCAAATGGAGTCATCATGCTTTTTCATATTTTTTGTAACAATTCATATTACAGATAAATACCTTTCGTATACTCGTGAATAATTTCGTGAATGTTTTCAGGTTATTTGATTTAAAAAAAGAACTTTCATTGAATCAACTATGTCAGAGGAGTTGGCAACCTTTTCAGTCGGAAGAGCTAAAAATTACAATTTACAAAATTTCAAAGTTTTTTTTTATTTCAATTTTGTCTTTGCCAACAATAAATAGTACTCGCATAAATAAAGTTTTTTTGATAAAAAAAAAATGAATCTATTTATTCATCGTTGTTCACATCCAAAGAGCAAGAACAAGTGGCTCGCGAGCTGCAAGTTGCCGACCACCTGAACTAGGGTAAAATTTCTGGTTATTTTATAAACGCAGTGGGATTTGTTCCCTTGTCTTGTATTTTGTTTATCTTCTGTCATTTTCTTGTTCAATTTTGAAATTTTGATTGAATACTTATTCTGAATAATGTGTCATTTTGTTCCATTCCTCTTTCGAGGCGATACTCATGGCTTGGTCAAGTGTTAAACCTATTATACAATCCAATAATATAGTTATGTCTTTATCTATTAATCCTGGTATTAGTCGTAATAGTATACTTGAATCATCTCTTAAGAAAAAACTACCTCTACGGGACAGTTCTATTAAAGCATTTTTGTACTCCAATACACTTTCACCAATATATTGATCTCGAAGTTCAAAACGATAGTCTCCTGCTGTTTCACCTTGATAACATCCGAACAACTCTTCTAAATGGTTTATAAGCTCTTCGTACGAAAGATTGTATGGATCAGCTGGAGCAACTTTTTGTTGAATAGATAAAAATGCCGAAGTTTCCATTAAATTTAATAAACATTCAATCGCTTTATCACGTGGTATATTTAACAATTTGAGTAGAAATTCAAAATCATTTAACCAATAAAGAATCTCCGTATTTTCCGGATCAAAAAGTTCGATCATGGTGCTTGCTAAACATACTGATTCCGTCGGTATAGACATTGCACTCAGTTTTAAATTGATAAATTAATATGATTGATTTTTATCAAAAGTAATTTGACAAATTGAAAAGACTTCTGTCTTGTTTCCTTTGTTACACATTCAATGATGAACACTTTATACTTCTAATAATGAGTTTAAAACCATTTTAATTTTGGAAATGTTGTAACGATGTATACTTCAAATTATTTCTTTTTTTTTTATATATGAATGAAGGAACTTAGTGTATTAATTAATGTACAGAACTACTGTTAAAACTTTAAAATGTTAATAGAAGAAGAAAAAAAAAAATATGAAAGTTCTGGCATATATCTTGACTGAATGACAGACAGTAATTAACTCTGTATTTAAACTCAACTGTTAAATAGAAAGAGAAGCAGATTAACGATATTTGGTATATAAAAGGTTTCCTTGATTGAAGCATCAATTTTATTTAATCATTATAAACAGTTTACAGTATATTGTTGATTTAAACATTGACAGATGACAAATATGCGCATCTGTTATTTATGTATTTTTGTTTATTGTTTTTCTGAACATGTCATGTTATTATTGTAAATCTAATAATATTTTAAAAATTGTAATCGTACTGTATAAGTTTATCACATTAAACCTTTGATATGTTGTTTCGCATTTGTTTTTTTACAGGTACGCATAAACTATCGTTGTTTTAAATGATGTTTACAGTCTCGTTTTACAGCAACTATCATTACATAAATATTTAAACTATATTTAAATTGTGGCAAATAATATCATAGTTTTATGGGAAAATGAATTAGTTTCCATCTTATTTACTGTATATTTACTTTTCATAAATAATATTACATCCTTTTGTATATACTTATATAAAAATAGACATTATTATGAGATATATGTAAAAGTAAATATACAAGTATGAATATAATATAGAAATGATATCAAAAATAATCCTAATTGTTAAATTTTTCCATATAAATTTAACAATTAGGATTATTGTTTTACAGACAAAAACACTGTTTCATTCAATGCTTTTCCTTTTTACCTTAACTAAGGTAACAGTATCATTAGAATCAACGTGCTTTGTCATCCTTTAATACACCAATTAATATTTTAAATAAATCATTTTCATAAGAAATTTCGTAATTTGTTGACGTTGTTTCATTAAAAAAAAAAAAAAACTCTTCCAAAAATAACTAGATTAGAATTATAGGTTATCGTATAACTGCAATTGAATTTGTTCACTTCTTCTGTATTTTGTTTCTTTTACCAATATGTTTTTTTTTTTTTTACTGTAATACTATTTTTTTTAATAAATTATTACAATTTAGCCGAAAATTTCTCTAATTCCATTCGAGAAGCAAAATGTACTGCTTTGTTAACATTTAAATGTAATCCATGACTCAACTTTTCTTTGATGTCTTCATGTAATAATCCATTTATTAATTTAACCAGAAAGAATTTAGTTTGTTTTATTTTATGACTACATTTACGAGAAATTTTCAATAATGCATCTTTATAGTCAAATACACTTTCACCCACATGTTGATCTCGAAGAAACAAACGATAATTGGCTGCATATTCTCCTTGATAAAATGCATATGATTGTTCCAAATAGGATACAATTGTTTCGTAAGAATAAATGTTTAGGTTAACTGAAGATAATTTATCCTGAATATTCAAAATTGCGATAGGATGTAATAAATTTAATAAAAATTCAACCTTTTCATCTTTCGGTATTTTTAGGATATCGATTAAAAATTCAAAATTATTTATCCACTTGAGAAAATCCATTGTTTTCGGATCAAATAGTTTGATTAAACTGCTTCTTAGATTTTTTTCATCCGTCTTTGTATTCATTGCACTTATTATTTATTTGAAAAATAATTAATGATATAGATTTTGATAAAAAGTAATTTGATAAATTGGGAAAACTTCTTTCTTGTTTCCTTTGTTTCACATTCACTGATGCTCACTGTATACTTTTATTAATAAATTTAAAAAAAGTCTTTTTAATTTTTGATATATTTTCACGTTTTATACTTCAAATTATTTATTTTATATGTGAACGAAGAAACATAGAATTTTATTAAATGTGTTGAACTCTTGTTATCAATTTATAAATTTTAATAAGAATAAAAATACAAGAGTTTTAGCTTATTTCTTGGCAGTATTTACAGACAGTAATGAATTCTCTACTTAAACCTAAATTTTAAATATTAGAAGAAGCAGATTAATGATATTTCATATTTAAAATGTGTCCTTGATTTAATGTATCAATATATTTCAATATTATATAAATAGTTGACAACGTATTATAGATTTAAACATCGACAAATATCAACGGACTTTGATTTAATCTTGTTCATTGTCCTTCTAAAGATGTCATGTTAGTGTAAATTTAATAATATTTTTAATATTTTAATCGTACTACAAAACTAATTCATTTTAAAACTTTGATATTTATTCTCGTATTTTTTTTTTTTTTTTTTATTACAGGGACGTCTAAACTTTGCTTCTATAAATGATATAACTGTTAGTTTACTGTAACTATCTTTACACGAATGTATTAACCTAATTAATATTATACTAAAGAATATTATTCTTTGATGGAAAAATATTCGATTTTTTTTTCTTATCTACAGTATATTTTAAAATTGATAAATAATATTAAATTTGTTGAATAAATTATATATATATATAAGTATAAATATAATATAAAATTAAAGTCAGAAATAAAATTAATCAAAATTTGTTAATATAAATTTAACCACTAATATTATTGTTTGACAGACAAAAATACAGTTTCATTAAATGCTTTTTCTTTTTTTTTTTTTACTTTGATGTAACAAAGGTAACAATATCATTAGAATCAATTTGCTTTGTCATATTTTATACAACAATTCATATTATTGATTAATACCTTTCGTATACTCGTAAAGAATTTTTGTCATGTTTTTTTTTTTTTTAACGCTATTTGATTCGAAAAAGGAACACTTTTGTAAAATTCGACTACGTTTAAAATTTACTCTTTATCTTATAATTACGATGGAATTTGTTCAATTGTTTTTTTTTTCTTATTTCAATTATTTTCTGATAATATGTTTCCTAGTTCGCTAGTATTTCTGGATAAGTTATTTCTGTTAAGATAAAATACTTTGAAATTGAAATTGCGAGGCGGTAAGTACTGTTCTGTCGAGTGTTAAATCTGTGCGACGACGCAATATTTCTTGGATTTTTTCATCTCTTAATCCATTTATTAGTCGTGCCACTAAACATACATTAGTTCTTAAGAAAGGACTGGTTTTACGAGAAATTATCGATAAAGCATCTTTGTACTCCAGTATACTTTCGCCTAAAAATTGATCACGAAAAAAGTAACGATAATTGGCAGCACATTCTCCATGATAAAGTGCGTATAATTGTTCCAATATGGATATAATGGTTTCGTAAGAAAGCATATGTAGATTAACCGAAGGTAATTTTTCCTGAATTTGCGATATTACCGAAGATTCCATGAAATATAATAAAAATTGAACCTTTATATCATCTGGTACTTTAATAAGACTAATTAAATATTCAAAGTTATTTAACCATTTAAGATAGTCCATAGATTCCGGATCAAATTTTTTCAGTAAAAAGTATCCTAAATCTGCCAATTCTATCAAATCACTCATTGCACTTAATATTTAATTGACAAGGGACAATTTTATTGATTTTTATCAAAAGTAATTTGATGATGTGAGCAAACTTCTTTCTTGTTTCCTTTGTTTCACATTCACTGATGCTCACTTTACACTTTTATTAATACATTTAAAAAAACTTCTTTAATTTTGGAATTATTTTCACGTTTTATTGTTCAAATTATTTATTTTATATATGAATAAAGAATCTTAGGGTTTGATTAAATGTGTTGAACTTTTGTTAGAATTTACAAATTTTAATAAGAATAAAAATACAAGAGTTCTAGCTTATATTCTGACTGTATGATCGACAATAATGAATTCTGTACTTAAATTTAACTGTTAAATAGAAGGAGAAGTAGATTAACGATATTTAATATTTAAAATTTGTCCTTCATTGACGCTTCAATTTATTTCACAATTATAAACAGTTTACAGTGTATTGTAGATTTAAACAGATATTATTTAATTACATTGTCGAAACATCATAGTATTATTGAGTAGTCTAATATTATCGGTGATTTTATAACTTTTCCAGGAAGAAAATTCCTTGATTTTTTTTCACATTATGTTGTCCAGTTAAGTACTATTTTTTGAGTTCTTCTTTTGAATTAATTGAGATTATTATTTCCTTATAAATGTTCTGCGATAATTAGTGCATCGGTAAATGTTAAATAATGCGAATCATCCAATATTTTTTTCATTTTTTCATCTTTTAATCCCATTCTTAAACGATTTATTAGGATGGTACTATTTCTTAGACAAGGATTGCATTTTTCAGAAATTTCCACTAAAGCGTTCATATAATGGATTACACTTTCCCCAAAAAATTGATCTCGAATAATAAAACGAAGGTTTGCTGCTTCCTCACCTTGAAACTGTGAGTACAATTCATCTAAATGGCATACAATCTGATCGTATGAAAGATCTTTTACGTTAGCTGGTGCTACTTTTTGATCAATCTTCGATATAACTGACGGTTCTAACAAATCTAATAAAACTTCAACTTTACTGCAATTACTACTTGGCATATAATCGATTGTATATTCAAAACTATTTAGCCATTTAGAAAAATCCATATATCTTGGATCAAATTGTTTCACTAATAAATGCCCAAATCTTTTCTGTTTTGCATTTGGAAACATCGCACTTGTTATTGAATTGACAAATATTGATATTAATAAAAAAAAAAAAACAATTCCATACAATTTTGAACAATTTTTCTTTAGTGATTTTTTGTTTGTTTCACCTTCACTGTGAATTAATGTATACTTTTGTAAATAATTTTAAAAGTCTATTGCAATTTCAAAAATATTTTAACGATATTTAATTAGAATGATTAAT